TGGAGCTGGGACCCTTTTCCTGCCCTTGGACACCAGAACTTCAGGCTCTTTTTATACTGAGAGTTACACCATCCACTTCCCTGCTTCTGAGGCTTTTGGATGTGGACTGAGTCACACTCATGGCATCCCAGGGGGTCCAGCTTGCAGACAGCCTTTCCTGAGACTTTTCACTCTCCAGTTCCCCTAATAAGTCTCCTCTCGTCCATCTTTGCTGATACCCTGTTGGTGGCGTCTCTCGAGAGCCCCGATTAATCCATAGGGGTGATGTGAGGGAACAATGAGGCCATACATTGGGGAGCATTTCACAGCCTGCCTGACACATGCCCACATCCTACAGGCTGCAGCTGCAGTTATTCTAGAGCTTAGTATCAGTGTTCAAAACAGTGGAAGGCCTTCCCTCTGGCACCCAGCCATCGAGTTGAGCTTCTCCTGTCATTTATCTATTCCAGGGTGTTTTTTGAGAGCAATTCTGTGTCCCGCCTGGCATACACATGGGGCTAAAATCAATCCATACACATGGGAATCTGAGGCTGGGAATGAGCAAAGGTGAGAAAGTTCTCAGGAGTCAGGAGCAGAGGAAGCTGCATGGTCAAGGGGAATCAACATGAGCCTTCCTCCGTGTGTCCTCTTTCCTGCGGTCTAATGAGAAAGAGACATATGTATGTATACATCATCTCATGCTTAGCTCTTTAATATGTACAAGGTGTTCCCAAATTTTCCCACCAACTATCCTTGACAGCTGAGAACATCAAGATTAAATGTTATTCATGACTGTCATCAAGGGGATCCTCCGTTTAGGGACACAGGAGGATTTGCCTATAAATGTCAGGAAGCTTTGATATCTACTATTTTATTATAAAAGTCAACTGTAGCTTTGCTGTTTTACTATTTGGGATCTTTACTCATTCCACTGTTTATTTTAAGCCTGAGCTTGTGGCTAGTTCGAGAAGGACGGAACATATTTAAAACTCTTATTAACTAATTTAACTGTGTATATAACATGTAGAATAAAGGAAAACTTAAATGAAGATATATTCATGAACGCTCCAACAAATTAAAAGATTATGAAATTGTTGATTTCTAAGTAAACCACTTATTATCGATGATGAATTAAAACATCCTGTGAAAATAAATTCAGTGGCATTTTATATCCATAATTTCAAAATTGTAGTAACTTCCCAAAGCTGAAAATGCCTGAAACGTAAGTCAGCTAATCATCAAAATAAAACATGAAGCCCCAGTGAAAGAGCTAGTCAGGATGGGTTTCCAGCAAATAGCAGTTGAAGCTCCAACTGCCATCAGATGATGAAAAAAACACGGTGTAAGACCCATAGATAATTTTTTAAATGCCAAAATAATGATCACAGATTGTTTTGCTTGCAGAGTTGAATGGCAATATGGCATTAAAATAAGGTGCACGAAATTAATTCTTGAATGTAATTTTGAAACACACTGCTAAAGTGCTCACTAATATACACCAAACCCAAAAGTGACCACTGACAAGACTCTATTTCAGTTTTTATGCTTTCATTATGGAAAAACTATAGCAGAAAGTTCACCAACTTCCCTTTGGAAAGAGACATACAACCACGGCCAATAGGCTTTCCTAAAAGACATCAGGAGCTTTTCATTCGGACTTGTTTCCCGTCCATAACATACAAATGGTTATTGTTCAGGGTCAATACAGACTTGCAAATACACAGGCTTTGAGTTATACCAAGCATGCTCATCCTTATATGGTATGTCCATGTATGAAATATAAAAGAAATATACCACAAAATGATGGTGTTCAGGACATGTGCAAGGCTCTGTTTCTGTGGTATAGCGTCCTAGGTTTCATAGGATTCCATAGGAGGCAGCTACAAGTTCAACATGCAAAGCTCTGAAATCCTTTCCTAAGCCAATGAAGTGAAGCCCTGACCACACCAAGGAAAGGGATGAAACAGAATTCATTTATTGTTTCTCAAAATATGCTACCAGTTCTTCAAAGCCAGCATTAATTTTAGCATATTTAAAGCTATAAGAGCAATCTATGTAACAAATGAACACTGCCTATAAAGTCAGTGCTTTATATCTCAAACCCTTATTATATGAAAATTCATATTTTCATAATCACATAAAAGTTTAACGTGCTATTCATTATAAGATTAAAGGGCATAAGTTATTCTGCTCTTGTAATTATTAACAACTGGAAATTAAATGATGATAATTCTGTGCTTTATTCTCCATGAAATGATAATTTCCTTCTCCTTTTGCCTGAGAACCATGCTTCAAGAATACACCTTACCTTCTAAAATAAATGATCACATACAGAATATTTATTTTATATAAAATACATATTTATATTTATATATTCTATATATGTACATATTTATATAGATTATATTTATATATTAAATCTATATATGAAATCTACCTATATAAATATAAATATATAAATACATATATAAATGTAAACATATATAGATATTATATATGCAAATATATAGGGATAAATATAAATTATATATATACACATTAGAAATACACAGGTCTTTTCTATATAAAGACCTCTGTGTTTATATAAAAACTTGTGTATTTATATGAATATAAACATAGATTTTATATATATGTGTGTATATATATATATATATATATATACACACACATTGGGAATACAGTAGTAAATTCTACTATATATAGAAAAGACCTGTGCATTTATATAACTATAATATAGATTACATATATACAAATTAGAAATGCACAGGTCTTTTCTATATATCGCAAGTTCTGTATTACTCTCTCATTGAAATTATTGACAACTGGGTATTATATCGTGACAATTTTGCTCTTTATTCTTCTTGAAGTGATCATTTCCTTTCTATTTTTGCCTGTGAATCATGCTTCAACAATCATAACAACTTGCTTTCTAAAATAAATTATTAAATACCATATAAATGTAAATATATATTTATATATAGATATTTCTGTAGGTAATCTATATATAAATATAAAAATACTTATATTAATATATAAATATATAGTAGGTTCTAGTATATATAGAAAATACATGTGTATTTCTAACATGAGTATATATAATCTATATTTGTATATATTTATATTTATATATTTTATATATAAATATGTAACCCATATTTGTGTATTTATATTTATATATCTTATATATAAATATGTGTAATTTATGTTTGTATATAGTAAATATAAGTGTATATTATAATATAATTACATATATATTTACATATCTATATAGTAAATTCTATATGTAGAAAAGACCTGTGTATTTCCAATGTATGGGAATATAAAATGTACCTTTTGTCTCCTCAGTTGCAAACATAAAAAGGCTTTTTTCAAGCAGATAGATTTTGCTCTACTTTGAATTTTTCTTCTTAATTGTGTTAGATTGTAGGGAGGGACACTGAAAGGAAAGACAATGGAAACGATTCTTCCATCCCTTTCTATAAACGAAGAGGTATTTTAACAATGAAACCTAAGTAGGGAGAATACAGTTCTTGGTAGTTGGTGTACGAGCTAGCAAGATTGCATGAAGAAAGAAATCTTACAGGAAGTGAAGTCATCCTGTGAAGGGGAAATTTGTCTCCAGTGCTCAGCCATGACACAATCCTTATCCTCCTGTCTGTGTGTGACCTGTCCCTCTGACCTCAACCCCGCAGGACCCCACATCACTTCCTTCCCACATACCACCCATTCGTTCCTTCTTTCCTTTCTCTCTCCCCACACACCACCTCTCCCTCCCTCACTCCCTCCCTCTCCACACACCACCTATTCCTCCCTCC